GACATCTATACTTCCTTAAAGTAGAGGAAAATCGTTGAGCCCCCACACTGGAGACATAAGCCTACTTCTACCACCTTTTTATTGCAGGGCTTCACCCCTTCCCTCAGGTCCATTCCCACTCTGCTGTGCTATCTAGTTCTGATTCCCTAACAGAATGGACCCACCCTGGAAGCATCTATATATCACCTAGAATCTCCCCCAGCCTAGGCCCCCTGCTACAGTTGCTTCTGCCTCTGCACAGCAAAGTCCTCTCCACCTGTCATTCACACAAGACACAGCACACTCAGAAAATGCAGAGGGAGGGAAACAAAGACCTTAGGAGCTGCCACTTAGTCTGATCACATTCCCAGGCCACATTCACCCATCAGAGTCTTCCAGGACCATTTAGCCGAATGTGATCTCTCCTTCCCCACATCTGTGCAGACCACTTCATGCTTAGTCAGGGAACCTGTGTTTTGTATTCCACTTGTCTCCACCATGTGAAGATCACTACTATAGGGCCTCACACCTAGAAGTGTTTGTTGCCCATCCTCCAAGCTCCAGCTCAGAAGTTTAGTCTTCTGAGCTTTTCTTTCTAGTGTCCTCCAACCTCCTTTGCTTCTATTGTAAACTCTTCATCCTAATCCTTGTTAGCTGAGGAAGGTAGCAAAATTCTGCTGGCTGTCTCTGTGGCTGGACCATGGATCACTCAAGGCCCCTAGCTCAGGGCTAGCACTTAGAAGGTGTGCAGTAGAGTCTCATCGCACGAATGTGACCACATTTGTCTCTGCCCTCATCAGCGCTCTGAATAGTTTGCATAGCTACAGAGCAGGCAACAGTGGCTGAGGCCTGCAGTAAAGTCAACAGAGGCAGATCCACCTGCTCGATTTCCAGTTTCTAAGGCCCCCTCTCTGGCTCCTTCATTGTTACAGTGCTATTCCTGTGTCCTGATTCTTAAGAAAGCAAAGCATCTTTATTCTATTAAATCTAAAATGCTTTAGTGCCACAGTAGGTGTTCTGTTTATTTTAAGCTTTATGACTCCATTTAATTTGCAATTATGAAAAAACTAGAATTGTACCTATAACAGAAAAACTCCCTATTGACTTCCAGCAGTAAATAGGAGAATTCAATTCTTTTTTTAAAAAAATACTGGTATCATTAACCTTTGTATTTTATGAGAAATCAGAGATGGTATCTAGTGTCCAAACATTTTTATGTTTCGAAGAAATAGGTGATGTTTTAACCCCCCCTGGTAACTTTTTCAAAAGCTTTTCAGAAAGAACAGTATCAGCCTAGTTTAAGATAAAGCAAGAATGGAAAATGGTATAATTTCATCTCTTTGTTATGCCAACGAAGCTCCTTACTCATGATCCCCACCTTACAGAAGAAGCCACAAGGGCTTAAAGAAGCAAACAGAATCAGGGTTTGTACCAGGTTTTTCTGACACTTAGTCCATTGCTCATCTGTCAAGTCACAGCCACTCATATCCATTGTCATATTGCTTCACATTGTTTCACCTTAAATTTTGAACTTCTCCAGAGCTGTCATACATTTTATTTGTCTCTGAATCCCCAGTATCTCTCAAAGAGTGTAGATCTTAGTGTGCGGTCAGAGGGGTTCATGAATGATTAAAAGAAAAGACAAGCACTACCTTTTATACACATTTAAAAGCTGCCTTTACTCAGCTAAGAGGTTTCTCTCCATGGGAAGGTATATTTTCCCCAAAATAAACTTCAAGAGTGTTTCAATAGCAAAATGCAAGTAGATCAAGAGGCCTTTCTTTTTATTCCTGCTCTTCCCACAAAGTGAGAAAAGTTCCTTTGTTACCTAAAATATCTGTGCCAGATCGTACAATGCTCTGTCTCTTAACACAAGTGCTTATTATTGTGGCTAATTTGGTCACACGTGTTTGAAAGAGAACAATGCCTCAGAAATTTTTAAAAGCAAAACAGCAATCTGAAGCATTTGTTGTAATGAGATGTAAATTGCCAACTTTGGGGAGTGGAGCCTACTAAAATTTGCAATGGAGTGGAGCCACCCACCCCCACTTAAATTAAAAGCACCAGAGGCCATCCCTCCTCTCCTCAGAGAAATCACATTTTATTTGTTTGTTCCTTTTCTTCCTGGTTCTGCAGTGCTAAGCACCATGCTTTATTGACTGATGCCTTTCTGCATTCATCTGCCATCTTCTGAGCCTCTGCCCTCTGCCTGCCCCAGTCCTGGGCACCAGCAGCCTGCTGCATGCATCTCTGAGAAATCCCCACTGGCAAGTAGGACACTGAGGTCCAGAGAGCTGAAGTGACCTGCCTAAGGTCATACGGCTGGGATCACACCCAGGTCTGCTTTCAAGATGTGCCTTTGGCTGGTTATTCTAGTGGCTCTCTTTCCTGAAGATGGGGTGCCGGGTGCCTCCTGTGTACAAGGCTCTGAAAGCAGGAAGCTGTTGCAGAAAGTGGCCACCAGGTGTTAAACAGTGCTTACCTTGAGAGAGAGATTCCCAGTAAGATAGCCTTGCTGTGTAACAAAGCCCTATCAGTCCCTAAGGAGATTACAAGGACATAAAATCATTCCCGCCCTGCTGCTTCCAGCCTTACAGTCTAGTTAGAGACAGAAAGAAAAACAAATGAGGGTGTCCCAGAAGTCTGGTGGAGTGGGGGATGTGTCCACAGGCGAGTGAGCTCTGCTGCTTAGGAAGGCAAAGGCTACCTACACCCTAAGTATACCATTCAGCCTCACTGCTGCTTCCAAACACTCCCACTCAGCAAAAGGGCTTTGTTTTCACATCTCTGCCCCAGCCTATCAGAGAACAACCCCACCTTACCTACTCTGTCTTCCATCTCCTGGGCTGAAGAATTTACTGAGAATCTGCCAAGTGCAGGTACAGCTCTAGGCTCCAAGATACAGAGGGGGTAAAACTTAACTCTTAAAGAGCAGTGCAGTCTAATGCTGAAAACAGGTGCATGGTCATAAACATGATTTGCTAGAGTATTTACAATGTAAAGCCCCTACCTGGGAGCAAGATCTCGTCAAACAGACACATGAGCTGTGTCCCAAAGTCTGATTGGGAGCTGGGCAGACAGCAACCTTCAAGGCTAAAAAACACCACAGAGGTCGGGGCAACATAAACTCTGGGGAACCTGAGCAGAGGGAGATAATGAGGTGGGGAGCAAAACATGACCCAGGAGGCTGGTTCTCCTAGGTCTTAGGGAGGCTGTAGTGTGAGACCACACTATAGTGAAGCATGGAGACAAGTCATATGGAAGATCTCTGTGGCAGCCATGGATGGGAGAGAAGCACACTGAAGTTACAGCTAGGCTGGGTCTTTTATGCAACAACCTTCTCTCATGGAAGGAAAAAAAAGGCTTTACAGAAAGATATGATCTCACTAAAGATGGCTCAAAGGCAGACGCCACATGCATCTTCCTGTCACCAAACACAAGAACAGGAAGAAGCCTCAGATACCAACTCAGCCACACACTTTAGGCAAACTGATTACCTTTTGCCACGTATAAGGGAATATCAAATATTAAATTTGTTTGTGTTTCAGAAACCCAACCTGAGACAACATGCAGATAGGAGAAACTTCAGCATCTGCTTCTGAAACTTTGGGGTTGTTCATTCATTGTTGCTAGAATTGTTTTATACCATTAGTAAACATTCAGAGGGTACTAACTCAGCATGAGGAGCTGGGGACAAAGGAAAGAATAAACCCTACACCCAGCCCTTGAATAAGTCACACACCATTAGGAGAGGCTTTCAGAATAATTATGATATTATTGGTCCCCTCACTTTGCCAACTTCTACATCTGCAATTCATTTTTCTGTGGTTGTACAATTAAAATATGGCAGAACCAAGAATGGGGCCCAAAAATCTCTCTGCCAGGATGAAGTGAACTCTTTTATCTGTGCTGGGCTGCTCCCTCGTCATCTTGTATTCAGATTTGTACAAAATTCACACTTAAATATTTGTAGCATGCAGATGTTCATGAGGACTTTTAGTAATAAACCCAAATACTAACCCTGCCACCACCAAAGTCTAGAATGTGGTAACTGAACATAGAGTTGCAACCAGATTGTTGCACAGGAATTTAGTATATATACAACTTTGTACTCAACTGACTACATGTTAGTAAGAGAGGTTGGAATCCAAATTCATTGGTTGCTTAAGTTATATGTATAGCCATCTGCAGCTTCCCAATCCCCATCAACTCTTGAAATGTCTCCAGTATGCTAAACTCTGCTGGCTTTTGGAGTTGTTAGACTACAAAATTAATCAAATCACTTAGTCTTATATATCCATTTTCATCCTGTTTCTCTGCCCTTTGGCAATCAAGACACAATAGATGATTTAAAAAAAAAATAGTCAATCATTTCAAAAAGCCAATGGAGAAAAAAGAATCCTTTATAGAAACTGCCACCAGCTACCCAGCTTCCTTTCACTGTTTAAACATCATGTGATTTGTGTTGATTGCATTAAAATAAAAATCAGAGTAGTTGCTAGACCAGGCAATCAGGAGTTTAATCTGTATTGTATTTTTGTTAGTTGGGATTTTGTGTAGATATGGAGGGAACAACATTTGTACTTTTCTCCATAGCTTTCCTAACTTCCCTTCTGCTAAGGTTCTCTCCACCATAGGCTACAAACCTGGAGCTTATGGCAATTACACAGTTTCTATATTACAGTAATTTTCACCTCTTTTCCTCTAATGCAGTCTGAACAGAATCTCTTTCCTGCGTAGCAAGTTTCACCTCCTGCCTTTCCATGTAGACAATGACACCTTAGGAGAGTGTTCCTCATTCATACTCTACTGGATTCTAGTTCATGCTTGTTTTCCAGTTTTCACCTTTTCCCTAGTGACATTCATACTTCATATTATTTTGAAGTCTGGGTTTAAGTGTAGTACAATTGACAAAAATAAGCTAGCATTTTTTGGTACCATGTGCTGATAGATGCCTAGTAAAATATTTGCTTTTTATTTTCTTTGGAGTTCTAGACAGATCTCTTTTCTTAACTGCCTAGGTCCTGCCATTGACTTGGAAAAAGTAAAGTCAGAATGTCTCGACCCTGAGCCGGAGTTACGGAGCACTTTCAGTGAGGAAGCAAATACGTCGTCCTATTACCCTGCTCCTGCGCCTGTCATGGACAAGTATATCCTAGACAATGGCAAGGTAGTGTTTCAAGCTCAATATCCATTCCCTGCGAGTGTTTGTTAGTCAGAGGCAAGATGGAGAGTATGACGGGAACCTTCTGAAACCCAGCTTGACTGGGCAGCCCCCTGCCTAGTCTGGAGTGACTGTGGAATTTGCATTATGACTAGTGCAGGATTATTGGGTTTCTTCTTTGTTTTTTTTTTTTCCTATTGGATCAAAGTGCTGAAAAACTAAACGGACATTCTAAAATAGCTTAATAGGAAGATTTAAAAAAAAAAAAAAACCACGAAGATTCCCCTGATAGTTTGATGAAACCTGTCTCACATTCCTATAAGTACCTGAAATTCATAAGGTGAACTGGAAATGAAAAACCTGATTTACAGATTATAACTCATTGTACATGCATTCATCACTGACAAATGCTGTATGCTAGATACCAGGGATGCTGGAGTGAATAACACATCCTCCCTGTTCCTAAGCCTTTATGCTGTGCATTCAGTGTGGCTAGGCCACAGTCCTAAGGCCACATATAATCCCTCAGATTGTCTTTTATTACCCTTGAAAACAAATCGTAAAAGGAAATGTAAGCATGGCATCATTTCTATTGATTCACGATGAAAAGTACTGCATAGCCTTTGGAGGTCTTAGTCACATGACAGCATAGCACAGGGCAGAAGAGGAAACTGCTGACATCTGCCCAACACCCAAATGAATTCACCTTTGAAGAGGCCTGTCAGGACCTTTTCTAGGCCATGGTTAATAGGCTTAGTGTTACGTTCTCTGCCATAACATCACACGGTACAGACATCACCGGTGCCTTCTCCCCAGAGTCATCTGTGTCAGTTCATTTTTCTTGCTTTATACTTCCAAATATCTCCATTTATTTGGTGCTGCTCACTAGTGGGTTGATGAGAAAGAACAAGTGGTTTGATTTGGGTTTGTCTGGAGGATATATCCCTGCAGCTGGCCAACCTGAGCCATAGCAAATCTTGTCAAGCTAAAAAAGAGGAACTTGTTAGTCTTCAGTCTCTTGGATGTGTTGTCACTCCTGCATCTGGCGCTGAGCACTTCCTCCCCTGCAGAGGCGGGGCAGATGGACCCTGCACTTAGCACACTTTCAAAGGGAGCATTGCCGAAGAAAAGTGTCATTGACCACATAGAATAGCAGCATGGTCCTGAGTTCATGGCCTTGCTCTACCTCTGTCCTGTCTATGTGACTTGGGCAGATACTGTGCCTCTCTGGGCCTCATCATCCTTGTCTGTGAAAGGTGATTGGGAATGATGCTCTCCATAGCCCCCTTTTTTTAAAAAAACTCAAACTGTATCTAAGATTTGTGAACCTTCCCCAGCTGAAGATAAAAGATGACAGGACTATTCTGCATTTGTTAATTTTCTTTTAGTCATGACCATATAGTAGAATCACTGGAGAGGTTTTTCTTAAAGAAGCTTCCAAGAGAAATATATTTCTCTCTCACTATGAAGGCTGATGGACAGTTTCTGAGCAACACAGAAAGCCACTTTTGCAAAGTTAGATTCTTTCCTCAAGAATATGAGTCTTTTAAACCTTATTTAATTTCTTTACGCATTAATTTATTTTTTTTGTACCAGTGATAGAACTCATGACCTCCTGCTTGCCAGGTAGGTGCTTACACCACTGAACTAAATCCCCAGCCCTATGCATTAATTAGGCCACAGATCTTGAAAATATCTACTATACTTTTTTAACAGCATGTTGCTATAAAACTAACCTGGTTTTTGTGTGCAACTAAGGTGTAGTCAGGCAGAGAGATTTATTAAGGAAGAGAGAAAAAGCAGACACACTGGAAATGGATGGCAGATTCCCACAGAATCATTTCCCACATCCCCAAAGTAATCCCCATTGTTCTTGGTTCTGCTGTCTCTTCTGACCTTTCTTTCTGTCTGTGTACACAGAGGTCTTAATCTTTTCAAGGGCTAGAGCACTGGAATGAGCTCCATTTCCTAATAGGAAATAAGTTTTGTTCCATAAAATATTTCACAAAGAAATATTTTGATTAATTCCCGTCCTAATAGATGGCATATTTTTAATAGCTTCCGCTGACAAAAAAAGTATTAACATTTTGGTCAAGTAGTATGCTATGATTTGCATGAATAGAGACTGCTACACAACTTTTTTTCTAATTCTGATAAAGTGGATTGCTTTTCTTTGTCTAAGATGTTTTATTTGAAAAATTCATTGAATCATAAACCTACAAAATCCATTAAAGGTTAAATAGTCTAAATTATCCATAGTGTGGATCAGGAAACATATCCTCAGAAAGGGCTTGTCTGCAGTTACATAACACATTCAAGACAGACTGAAACTGGAAGCCCAATCTGCTACTCCACTTGCCAGTGTCCTTGCTAATATATCCTTCTGTGCCCCTGAAAGCTGCACATTGCTTCAGGGGACCTGAGTTTGACCTCAAGAACTCTTATTTTAAATGCTCAAGCATATACCCAGGGCCATTTCTTTCTATGTTATGAAGTCTCTAAGGAACAGCAGCTCATCAGACCTGAAAATCAGTACCATTAAGACATATTTAATATGCCCGTCAATTGCTTTGTGCTCACACTAGTTCTGGTGACTTTGTGGGGGACAGAAAAAGCAAAGCCTCTACTCCTCCCCTACAAGATCAAAGTCTGCACGAGGTGGTGAAAGTTGCCATTGGACTAAAACTCCGGAAGGGAGGAAATTAGTCCTGGAGTGCCTGAGTGGTGCTTCATAGATTTTAGGGTGGGCTGGAAATATTAGGAAGCTCCCGACATAAAAGAAACATTTATCGCTGGACAGCATACAGCATGAGCGGAGACTCAGGTGGTGGATAAATGCCAAAGATGTCATAGTTACTGTCCTGTCCTGTCCTTCTGATGTTTCACTCATCTCCTTTAACTTTCAAAACAATTCTATGAATTAGGTGACTGTCTGCCTGTTGTATAGTTGGAAAAAGTATGGCTCAGAGAAACAAAATGGCTAATCCATGTAAAACAACCAATAGGTAGAAGAGCTGGGCTCACACCAGGTCTGGAAGCTCCAGAGAAATCCTTTTTCTGTTGCAGCATATGGGAGGTGGGAGGAGGTGAGCTAGAGTGATGGGCACAGGAGGGAAGTAAAGATTAGCAGACAGAAGAGAGTGAGGTTCCCTGGGCCTTTAAAGCCAGGTTTGGGAGGAAGGATCTGATGGGACAGAAATCCAGCCATTCAGAACTCCAGAAAGTTGACATAAAAATGGTTGAAAGCCTGCTGAAGTCATCTAGTCAAAGAAAGCAGTGTTTTAGGGAAATCGGTATCAGTGACTCCAGTGTGGACTGGGAGTAGTGACAGAGGTGAAAAAGTCACTTCAGTTGCTGGCCTCTCCCCACTTGTCCTGTTGGTGGTGCCAACCTGCACAAGAAGTGACTGACAGGTGCGAAGGGACGCACAAAGGGAACACTGGACATCCATGTGTTAGATCTGCTCTTTTCAACTGCATCAGCATGACTGTGACCCTGGTGACAGCAGGGAAGGCTTGGGGAGCGTGATTGGGTCACTCGGATTTGGGTTCGAATCTTGATTTTGAGCTTTGCTGATCCTGTGTCTTGGGAGAAGTAATTTAGTCCCTATGCATCTCTGTTCACATCTGTAAAATAAAGACTATTTTTTAATGAATAACATTTTTTACCTATTTTTATTCTAAAGGTCATTGTGAAGATTAAGTAAATTGAGTTTATTACAGGTTCTCAAAAAATATTAGCGACCCTTTTCTCCTTTAGACGACTGACTAAAATGAATAACTGCTGTCTTTTAAGAGTAGTAAGTTAAAGGATTGCAGGAAAACAAGGCCCTGGGGTAGAAAAGTACAGAGCTGTTTGGAACACTAGCCTTGTTTTTCATCTCTAAAGTTTTCTAATTCAGAATTTAATCTAATTCAAAAGTCCTTTTCTTCCTCTATCATAGGAATCTTGTGTGGGTGGCCTCAGTGTCATCAACAGAGGCGATGCACGGTCCAGCAGGGAGCAATAGGGAACTTGTCCTCAGCATGCCTGAGCTGGCCAATTGAAAAGGCCAAAGCTTGACCATGGGGATCTGCATTGCCTCCCCAGCCTCAGGCGGCACCTCACACCCCAGGCTGCTTAGCTTTCTGAGCAGAATGCACTGATTTGCCTTACTGAAGTGTGCAGCAGAGAGGCTATTAGATCTGGTTATCTGACACTTGCAGAAGCCTACGTGATCCTTTGAGTAAAAGGAAGTGGAATCAGATGTGTGAGGAATTTGTTTGCTTACTAACAGTGGCAGGGTATTTTTTTCTTAATAGTTGGAAAGCTTCTTTAATCAGTGAAGGAAGAAGTGTTACTGGCTGCCCTCCTGTCCATCTCAGCCCTTTCCAAGCCCACTGCAGGAGAAAGATCTTCAATCATGTTTGAGTATGTGGTCTTCTGGTTTGCCCTCTGTTTACTTCTGGCAGAGGATCCTTTGGGCATCCTCTCTGGAGACATCTCCTGATTGTGCAGTAGTGATGAACCACAGGTCTTTCTGAAAGCAAGCACCTTTGGTAAAGCGTTGCAGTACCTTCTAGAAAGCTAGCTTAGTAGAAGCTGCCTCTCTTCCATCCTGCAGAAGCCATTTCTTCCTTTCATAGTCTCAGCAGAAGCATAGCATCTATGGGCAGTGACAAAGTTAAAACTATTTTTTAAATGATTGTTAGTTAGTGGTTTTCAAGTGATGAAAAAGGAGAACAAAATTCAAAAGCTTATTGCTAGAGCATTCTGTGAGCATAGGAAATATAGTAATTTATTAACTTTGCATTGCAGCATTTTGACTGCTTCCCCTAGTGAAGACCATAAGATTGTGTTTCTTTGTGTTCTCTGTGCTGTCAGAAACTAAGCCAGGTACATTTTGATTGGGTTTAATTTGTTAAACTCATAGGTGTTCTGAAGTAGACAATGAACTTTGAGCTGAAGTCTAATTCTCGTACTCCACAGATCGGAGATGGACTCAGAGCTTGGGTGGGTCATACAGCAGCGCTGTCTTTGGAGGCAGAACCTGGCCTGCTGCTCCTCATGCCAGCTGTCAGTAGTTTTCAAACTGAACTCTTTGAGTTGGAGTATCCTGGTGTCTGGGCCACACTCATTAAGTGAGAATCTCTGGAAGAAGGGCCCTGAAACCAGGAATTTTCTCACTTCCTTGTGTGCAGCCTCCCTGTGTTAGGAGGGTATGTGTCCCAGTTGTTCATGTTAAAGTGAGACTGTCTTTCTAAAGCAGCAGTTGTGAACCTATGCCATGCATGCTATTTTTTTCCTTTTAAGACAAAAAATGTTTATGAGGTTTTGTTTTGCTTCTAAACTAAAACCACAGTGTTCAGGTTTAATTGCAACATTGGCACTTTGCAATAAGGAAGTGGGTTTTGGGTTGCAGTTCGGGTACTCATCCACAAAAGGTTTGCCATCACTGTCCTAGAGTGTCATACAGAAGGAGTTCAGAGCGTGTGTCGTGAGACTTGGTCAGGCAATGAGCAGCCTCTGGTACAGAAGGATAGTTTACAATCCTAGCCCTGGCACTTACAAGTTGAGTTACTTCTGGCAAGAACTTCCCCTTCTCAAACCAGGATTTTTCATCTGAATTGAAATGGTATCGTAATATCTTCTGTCCAAGGTTGCCATGAAGATTAGACATAGTGACTATATCGCACTAGAATCAGGTCGGCACATTTCAAGTATTCAGTAAAGGGTACCAATTATATTTACCCTTATAGACAGTTAACTTAGTATCTGTAGTGTGAATGAACCCCTTACAGTTGTACAACAATGCTTTGTGAAGGACAAAAACAACTTCCTGCTTCCCTTCATCAGACTAAACAGGTGTGATGTTCTTGTCCCTTTCAGGTCCATCTGGGAAGCGGGATTTGGGTTGATGAGGAGAAATGGCACCAGCTGCAAGTAACCCAAGGCGATTCCAAGTACACAAAGAACTTGGCAGTCATGATTTGGGGAACAGATGTTTTGAAAAACAGAAGCGTCACAGGAGTTGCCACAAAAAAAAAGAAGGATGCAGTCCCGAAGCCACCCCTCTCACCTCACAAACTAAGCATCGTCAGAGGTAGGTCACAGGGGAAACGTGATGGCAGAAATATGGTCCTTTACTCCAATAAGAATGTACTGGGCACAGTCGCACTCAGTGGACACTTACCGAAACTCCTGCAGGTCAGAGTCTGGCACAGGAACACAGGAGTAAACATGTCAGATGTCCCTGAAGACCTTGCACTGCCCAGGTCAAAGGATTGTAGACACCAGTACAATTGAGAGAATTGGCATGTGAAAGGGACAGATAGCTTGCTGCGACTGTCAGGAAGAGAGGATGTCCTTAGCTGGAAAGCAAGAGCAGCATCCCTGGGAAAGAGCTCCTAGAGTTGGGTCCTGGAGCTTGAGACACAAAAGGCAGGTGTGTGGAGACATGCTTCAGGTGCCAGAGTGTCTTGAACAAAGACATGGAGGTAAGAAAGAAGTACTGTTTGTGCAGAGAGAAGCAAAGGCTGGGAACTTAATTTTATGGTTCTAGCTTTGTGCTTAGAACAGTTAATGAGACAAAGACCAGCTGATGGTCACTAGCAGCAGTGTCTTCCTCGTGTTTCAGAGGGTGAGCGAGGGGCACGGGAAGTCATCTGTCCTCCTACAGTGTGGCTATGATCCAGCCTCCATGACTTCCCTCTCCTCCTCACTCCCTTTTTCTCCTCCTTCCTTCCCTCCTCCTTACCTCCTCTTTCTTACCCTTCACTTCATTTTCTTTCCTTTCATCTCATGTTTTTCTTCCTTTTCTCCCTTTCTTCCATCCTCTCATCATCTGTTCATGAAGCTCTTATTCTTTGCAAGGCCCTCTACTGGGTTTTGAGGACATGAAGAAGTCCTAGGCTCTGTGCATCTACCAGTTCAGTCTCAAGGCACAAGTGAGCATTGGAAGACCTCCTTACAGTGTAGTTAATGCAGGGCATGGTCATAGAGACTTTACAATGGAGTAGGGAGCGCAGAGAAAATTTCGAATTACTTTGAGTACTAACATTTTTCAGGGTTTTTTTTTTAACACTTTTACATATATTGACTCATTATCCTCTTCTCAGTCCTGCTGTTGATTACTATTACTCCTGTTTTACAGATAAGGAAAGTAAGACATAGAGTTATTAAGCAACTTGCCCAGGTCACACAGCTAGCAGGATTCCAAGGTAGCAGAGCTGGCTTCAGTTTGTGCTCTCCAAGTGTCCAGGTCCACCATATTTTGATAAAGAATCTAAGACTCAAAAAACTAGCATGAATATTTTCAGCAGACCCCGTGGTTTGAGCAAGTTCTAGCACCAGACAACAGATATGTCTACAAATGAGTCAGACAGTTTCAGGTATTGTGGGCTACGCTACATCATGTGGCAGGACAGAGAATTGCATCAGCCAGAGGGGATTAGGAAAAAAGGCCTCCTTGAGGAGATGACATTCAAGCTGGGAGGGAGCTGGAGGTGAAATTGGCAGCCCTGGGAAGATCTGAGGAGGGAGGAATCAGGCAGAATACATAGCAGGTGCAAAGACCAGAGCACTCTTGCCTGAAGAAGCTCCAGGGTAAAGTAGCAGGAAAGTGAGTGAGGTCAGGCAAGTGGATGAAGACCAGTCTTTATGGGGCTGCGAAATCCACAGTCAACCTCTTAGGTTCACTCTGCTCACAGTAGAGTCTGTGGAGGGCTTCCGCTGGAGTGACCACAGGGACAGTGATTAGAAGGATAACGCCCTATTCCCAGGAGAGATTCTGCTACTACAGACTAAGGGAACAGAAAATGAAGTGGAGAAAAGTGGCCAGATTTATTGTGGAGGTCACGGTTGCAGGATACTGATAAATTAAGTGACCAGCCTAATGCCACAGGTACAAGCCTTTAGACCTGGATTCAGTCCACTCACTCTACGCACTCCCTGACTCTGGTGGGTGGTGTTTTTACTATCCCACAGCTGCCTGGCTCATGATTAATTGGTTTAGGCAACCACTTACTTTTAGATAATCAGAGATAACCTTTATTTTGGCTGCTGTCTATGGTAGTGAATCCTGATTTGGGAGGTCTCCTGGAGAAAGAGCCCTTCCTGGGGAAGCAGCCCTGCCTGGCCTGACAGGTGGCAGACCTCTGATTCTGCTATACCTATTGAAATGTGATTGAGCAGGTTCAGGGTTTCCCTACCCTCGTTACATTGCTGTGTAAAATCATCTGCTGTTTGTCTGCCTTGGGAAGCACTTCTAACTCTTCATGCCTTGGTGGCCCGCACAGTATCTAGCACTCTGTAAATGAGGGTTAAATCACTTTGCTTCCACATTTCAGTTTTCTCTGCTGCTATCCTCTTAAGATTGAAGTGGAGAAATAGTCTAGAATACACCTCAGTTCCATAGCTTGTGTTCATCACAGACACACTGCCAGGTCCTTTGAGTGCCCCACAAATCCATATTCCCATTTTCCAAGCCCTCCTCTGCATTTTCCAAACATAGTAGCCCACTCCTATCTCTCAAAAGTTGTCCTGTCTCTTCCTTCACAGAGACAAGTAAAGGGATTTCCGCAGCTACACCTACAGATTGAACTGTCCCCTCCACCCCCCGCTCATTCTTCTGTTTCATGTCCCAGAAGAACTTTCCTTCTCTTGTTTAGGGCTGGTGATTCCCTTCATCTGAGCTCTCCATCTTTTCCACCTGCCTTCCTAACAACCATTCCTCCTGCTTTCTTGGTCCCTTTCCAGCATGGTTTACATGTGCTTTGATCACTCGTTCCTAACAGAAGCAAACCAAGCTCAGAAGCTTATCCCCTCACCCAGCTGCTGCTGTGTGTGTCTTCCTCTGCATGTCCAGGCTTCTTGAAAGACACGCCTACACTCGAACCATATTCACTGGCAGTGCCCTCCCATTTGCCATCAACTCCCAGTTGTCTACCTAATCTATTTTCAGAGGGCTCTGGAAGGTCTCCAGTGACTTCCTTGTTCCTGAATCCAAGGTTAAATCCAGGACTCATTTTCCACCTGCCCACCAGCAGAATTTAACATTGACTGCTCCTTGACTAAAGAAGCCATCTGCTCAGGATTTCTTCTCCTCCAACTCTCTTATTATTCCTGTGGAATTTTCTCCCTTTGCCTTTCCTCTGGTCTTCAGCCCTCTTCCTTCTTACCCTACCCTATTTTCCTTGGCTGGTCTCACTTCCCATTGATCCCGTTACCTCCAGTGTCCTTTGACCCTTTGGTGGATCTGTACTTGTCTCCCCAGCTAGTGCCTTCCTAGCTGCCCTAGCCTCTGGTGGCCATTTTGATCTCGTCTCCCAGGACATTTTCTATTCCTCCCCACGCTTTAGCCAGCAGCCTTCTTCCAGCTTCTTCCTCTTCCTTTTGCCTGCAGTGCCCTCTTTCCTGATCTTTATACCCTGCCTCCTTGTTATTCACAGATGTCTTCCAAGCTTCCTCATCTCAAGTAGCCTTATATTTCTCTCTGCAAGTTAATGTCTCTGCACAGCGTTACTTACTTACTTAAAAGTTGTCTTTCTCCCCCACCTCCATTAAAATCTTTATGATCATCTTGTGCAGAGCTAGCATATAATAAATGCTTTATAAATATTTACTGAATTCATAAACGGTGACTCCCAAATCTGTGTTTGATATGAGTTCACACTTCTATTTTTCTGATCCATATATCCATATATCCAGGCACACACTAATGGTGTCCTCTTGGGTGTCTACATGACATCTGCCCCTTCCCCTCCCCTCTTCCCCCTTCTCCTCCTCCATAGTCTTGTGCTCCTTCTGCGCTCTGTGTTGGTGAATAATACAGCCAGGGCCCTAGGCCTCACCTTTGCCTCTCCCATATACCCCCTTCTCATCTGTCTTGCCCCGAATACTTCTTAAACCCTCCATTGCTCCACTTACCTACTGCCCCTCATAATTCAGGCCAGATGTCTTCTCCCTGAACTACTCCAGCAGCTCCTAGATGACTCTCCCATTATGCAACCAGAGTGATCTTTCAGAATCCAGGTATGACCCCCTTGCCACTGCCCCATCACAGCTGATTCACAATATTAATTATTAAAGGGTCAGCTTCTCAGTATGTCATGTAAGCACCTTCATGGTCCAGCTTCTGGGCTTATCTTCAGCTTTACTTTTCAAAAATACTACCCTTGAACTCTTAATTTTTTTACCAAAGTGAACTACTATTCTCTGAGCAAGCCTTGTTCTCCTTTGCCTTAAGCAATTCCTAAATACTTTTTCTGGTATCTAGAACAGTCACACTAGACCCCCTGCTATTCTGTTTTGCTCGGCTAATTGATTCTTGCTATGCAGATCTGGTCGGGGACACTTCCCTTTAAAGGCCCTTTCTGACCTTGTAGCCTGGTGGGTGTCTTTCTCGTGTGTCCAGTGCACCGGGACCTACGTCAGTTCTCTTCACTGCTTCCTTGCGTCTTGGGAGCTTTGTCTGTGCTCCTTAGAGCCTATAAACACTTACTTGCCCTGTGTGTGGGTAAGTAAAAGTGACTTTCTCAATGACATAAAACTAACTAAAGGCAGCCAAACTGAACTGGGGTTGCAGGCCTTGTGTTGTGACCAGGAGTGTGGTGTCTTACCAAAAAACTTTTTTTTTTTTTTTTTTTTTTTTTTTTTTTTTTTTTTTAACTACAAGAAGATGGGTTTGAAGTCTGTGTTCCATCCCGTCATATGATCACCATTTTTAGCATGATTATTTGTGCTATTTATTCCAGATTTCATTTGGCTGGTTCTTTCCATACAAGCTGTCTGGCTGGATCAAAATTGTTTGTGTTTATTTTGTGTGATTTTATCACAGTTAGTCACATTTGCTGTGAAAAAATGGCAAGAACCTTTATGCTCACAGGGTTGAGGAGGATTTCCTCTTCTCTTTGATGTTAAAATCATTCCTTACAAGATAGCAGAAGGATGGGGCAAACATGGACCCAGCTTTAAAAAGATGAAAGCAGGAGTGCTTGCTCAAATGACAAACTCCAGAATGACCTTTTGCAGCATGCCTGAGCTTTCTAAATGAGCCACAGCATTGCATTCTGGTTAATTTTTATAACTTTTTTAATAGGACACATTAGCGCTGTTATAAACCTTGTTAATTAAGCAATAATCTCAACTGCTCCCTCGCAGAGGGAGACATTCCCAGCAACTGCAGGTGTTTAATAGCTAGAGTCTAACAAAAGCCTTTTAATCAACCTGAGGCCCCATTTAAAGCTGTTACCCTGAGGAAATGAAAATGATTTGAATTCTACAGGGGACCCCTGAAAACCTTCCTCATTTGCACCCTTTTCTTTCTTCCTTCTCTTGCTCCTGCTCGTAGTACTGAGGACATCCTACCCACTCTACAGCCTTCTGTTTTTCTCTTCTGTCCATATTACCTTTCAAATAATTAGAGAGTTAAAGCTACAATAATCTTGTTGCATAATCTGCTTTGACATTCCACTTTCATGGGTAATGAACCTGAGTCCCAGAAATATTTCCCCTAAAAGTTACACACCATCTAGGGTTGGTGTGCACATGAACATCTTATCAGAGTTCATCTTCTTCATCTCGTGCAGGTTTTAGCAAGGTCACCGTGAGTGTTTGCTTACTTCTTGTCCAGGATAGGAGAGGGAAAGATCAAGTGTCCTAGATGCTGTCGGAAGACGCAGTGATTACAGTTTTATGAAATCGTGTGCAGTGCTTCCCTAGGAAACCTTGAATAGGTGTGAATGAACAATGCTGTAGTTAATTTGTGTCTCTTAATGCCACTTGCTGGGTTCCAGGAAGGCTGAATCCAGAAGAATGAGTAGGCAAGTGAAGAATGAAGCCAGGGTATTCTGGGCAGAGATGAGAAAAGGCACTAACTGCTGGGATGGCTTGGAATGCAAAGGAAGCTGCAGGTGGATGTAACAGAAGTGATGCTGGAGAGCAGAGTCCTCTGCCTTCTTGTCTCTCTGACCTGTGGAAAGAACAAGAGGAACTGAGGATTGTAGGTGGGCAGGAAGTATTGAGGATCAATTAAAAGCTTTTAAAGGCTCCTTTATGTGAAACCATCTCTCAAAGGGGAGAAACAGGCAGTCCAGGAAAAGATGACCCTTGTACATTCACCTGTAGCGTGGATGGCAATAGTGGGCAGACTGGCTCTGTGCTCTGGAAAGGCAAGGTGTGCCAGGGCTCCTGGCCTCCACTGACTCTGACTCCCTGTCAAACCTCAGACTTCTCACATAAGAGTGGATGGATTAGCACAAGCTAGTCTGCATCTTCTCTCTGTGTCTCAATGCCTGCCTTGGGCTGGCTTGTTACAGAGATCTTGATTGTTCTCCTTAGCAGTTTCTTAAAATTTGATTGTCATTTATGTTTTGTAGATAAGAAATCTCATACTCAAAGAAGTTAAAGCTTTTACTCAGGATTACACACCACACCTGCACCCAGTCCCTTTATGTCCAGAATTGACATCTTCAAGTTTTCCTAGAAAAGCGTGCTTGCTTGCTTGCTTTCATTTATTCATTCAACAACTTTTATTTATTCTTGTCCACTTGCCAAGTATTGGGATAAGCTCTTAGAATAAAGAATATAGAATAAAAAGAGTTGTATATACACAAAATAATTATAACCGTACCATACAAGTGTAGCAGTTCCTTACGGTTTGATAAAGACCTGTAAAACATTTACCCTTAATACCTCTTGGTATCCATAAAAATCATACCCCATAGTTTTTATCCTTGTTTTTGAGGTGAGCTGTCAGTCTAGGACAATAATCTTCACCAGGTCCCCAGGACGGGAAATGAGGCTACAGTCAGGCCTTGTTTGTGACTGAGTCTGCTTCATCACAGCAAAGGACAAAGTAACTCTCTGTAAGAGTATAACCATCCTCAGCCTCATCAATAATCACCACAGCGGCACTATTTCACATTTACCAGTTTGTCCAAACCCTAAAGACATAGGACAACCAGTGCTTAGGCACATTACTATTCAGAGTTCCAGAAAGCACAACCACTGTGAAAAACCATTTAATAGGCCTCCCCTAGCAAAGTTGAGTATACACACACTCTAACAGGCGGCACCTGCATGCAGTGGGTAACACCAGAGAATTTCTCGTGTGTGTATCCAGGACATATGCAAGAGTATTCATAACTATAAAACCAAGTATCAGTAAACAATAACGTGAATAAACATAACAATGCAGTCATACATAGAACACTACATACCAGTGAAAGTGAATGGCATAAAACTTTACATTTAGACATGGCAAATCTTTCATAACTTTGAGTAAAATAAGCAGGTCAGAAGTTTTAGAGAAATGGACACATTTATAAAAAGATTGAAAATGGGAAAAGTGAGTGTGTTATTTATGAGTATGTATGTATATATTAGTATCCAAAAACTCAAGACAGTTATCTCTGATGGAGATAGAAGAGGGAAAGAGAAGAAAGGGAAGCAGAGGGAGGGGCAAAGCAGGGAAGGAAGGGAGGGGAACGAAGGGGAGGAGAATCCAAGGGCCTCAGAGGGACAGATAATGTCTTATTAAACCAAGTGGTGGGCACATGGGCATTTTACTTTTATATGTAAAGTATAAATTTATAGCATATACCTACCCTCTTCTAAGTACATGTCACAGCACAAATTTTAACATAGAGCATACAAGATACATGACCTGGTATTTGTGAAGTATGTGAGGAGGAGCATTTCTTCTCCATAAAAGACTTGTTCTTAAATTCACCATTAATCCTTGGCCTTGTCTCTTCTCTATGTCCAGAGTGTTTGTATGACAGAATAGCACAAGAAACTGTGGATGAAACTGAAATTGCACAGAGACTCTCCAAAGTCAACAAGTACATCTGTGAAAAGATCATGGATATCAATAAGTCTTGTAAAAATGAAGAACGAAGGGAAGCGAAATACAATTTGCAATAAACTTTGGATTTTTCATAAAGCCTTTGTGTTTTCCTTGCGCGGCGTGCGACTTGCAGGCAATGATGCCACCCGAATTGCTCCCCACCTGCACGACGGCGTGTGGGCAGGGAGCCGGTAGGGCTCTAGGTCACAGCCAGCTCGGAACTTGGACTTCCTACTCCAGAGAAGGCAGATGGATCAGCTGAGACTCAGACAGCAGTCTGGCACCACCAGCACCAGTCGTTATGGGGCCAGGAAACACATTTCTCAGGGTGGTAAAGCATCTCTGAGCTGCCTGTCACTTGACCAAGACTTTGAACTTGTATTTTTGCCATGAAAGAACTTTTGTCTCTTCTTCTATTTTGTTCTATAATAAAACTTCATTAATTCTTGATGTAGACAATCATTATCCTCATGTATTCAGATTATTAAGTGTACAGTGGCGGTGATGAGTGTGGTACGCAGCCTGAAATGTTCTTTCTTTCAGAGGAGAAAACTTCAGTGTGAAGGAGAAAAAATTCATAAGGGATGCGGTTGCTGTCTACAGCCCTGAAGGGCTGTCTCAAAAGCAGATTGCTTTCCCTGACTTCAAAGGACAGATCTTAGACCAATCACCTTTGCAATATGACCTGAGATTTGGTTTCCCTGGTAATTTGAAACAAGCTTTGTAAAGAAAAGTGCATTGTGTGAGGGGTGGGGAGTGATGTTAGATGTGGTGCAGGATTGCCTTCAGGAAGTAGAGGCAATGTCACCCGGTATCAGTTTGTTCATCCTATCTTTTATCTCAAATGATCTTTCAAGTTATATAATTTTTATTCATCTTTCTTCAGTGGCTAAGTCTCTAAGGTGTCTGGCATACATTTTGGCAAACCATATTCTGTCTCCCTGTTGATTGGCACTTTCCTTTCGTTAATGCCTGTGAAGTAAGCATGGCATTTAGGAAAAGCCAAGGGCTTGGGACAGACACTTCTAGATTCCACACCTAGTTCCCCCTGCTCGCTGTGTGCTTGGCCCAATCTTTCTGAATCAAGTTTCTGTTTTCTGTTCCATCAAAAGAAAATAATAGCTACCTTGCAGAGTTACTATAAAGATTAGAGATAGCGTATGGAAAATGCTCAACAAACATTGGCAACTGTTATTCATTTTTTATGGTTTCTAGTCCTTGGTTGGGAAATTTTAGCCTCTACTTTTTCTGATGATTTATCCTTTAATTGGTAATCTGTAAGCAAAACCTCAGGGATACTGGGTTAGTGAAGGAGTTGGCTGCCACTTTGAGAACTTTTATTTCAGTAAACAAAATAACTCCTTATAATAAGAACTATTACATGCTCATGAATAGGAGATATAGATGAGAATTTCCTTTAATGGTATGTTTTCTAGCTCTGCACAAACTAGCAGTGAGATTTTGAGGCTATCACTTAATTTCCCAGCGTCTACAATGCCTACCTCACATGCTGTATAGGTAAATAGAACAACAGATTATGTATCAGGATTTTTCTAAAGTGTTTAAAGTAGGTCAGTTCTTTCATAAGGTAAGTAAAGATTTTGACATTTAATAGATATTCAATAAATTCTTGTTGTTAAGATAAGTTCACTTTTAAGGCATGGGGCAGCTTGGGCATGAGAGACTTGGAAAAAAATATGCATCATTTCTGAACTCATTCTCTTTTCTTCCTAAACATGGTGAAAATACAAACACCCAGAGGCTCTGTGCATTCCTTCAGACTAATTCATTATGGACCCTGCTTTGTAGGTGCTTTTAGGTTAGTGGGGGAAGTGGTTGTGAAAATACCTACAATAAAAATATCATGATGAATGTGAAAGTGCTTTGTGTAATGTATGGTGCATACGCTAAGGACAGGACAGGCCTGTGAACGACTGTAGGATCTGAGTTGAAATTGTCACTTTACCCCTTCTAGGCATATCAACTGGTTGCTGATAATGATCCCTAACAGTGTTATTGTGGAGACTGAACCAGATAATATCAGGGGAAAGGGTGCTGTAAATCCCAAAGGCATGCAGATACTAGTTATCTCCGTTGCACAAGGCGGAATGAAATCAGAAATGGATGCAAAATCCAAATATGCTTATAAGAGCCAATCCCGATGGGGAACAGAAGATTTCACCTACTAGTGAGATGAGGGCAAGACCATCAATCTTCAACCCACACCAAAGAAGCTGGCTCAGAAAAGGTTAAGAAGTGTCATGTCTTAAGGTTTTGAGGCTGTCAACAGTAGGCCTGGACTAGAATTTAGGTCTATGCAAAAATTGTCCCTTTTCTCTTCTCTGAAAATGACTGGAAAATTACAATCTGCCTAAAAATCTGGCTATGTAATCTCAGGGTATGTTTATGAGTGACCCTATCTAAGCAGTCAGTGATAATAAGACTCATTAATTCAGGCCATTTGGGGGATTGGGAATAATAGTACCATTATAAGCATTCATTGCACTCCAGAGAAACACAAAACCCAAAGTCATTTTATGCAGCAGTGTTTTTCAGCTCTATGTTAAGAATTTGTTGAGGTACTTGAAATACAGATTCCTGGGCTTTGGCTTAGAGAGTCTGATTTAGTATGCCTGGGATAAGATTGCAAATGTGTATTTGAACACAAATGTGACTTCGGAAAAATGCTAGTTTAGCAGAATTCATTAGAAGATCTTCATTAGTAAAAGAATAAGAGTATTTCCTAAGTAAACAACAGTACATGAATGGTCCAAAAGTGCTTAAGGGTATTTAAAATTAAGAATAAATTCCATCAGTAAAGAATCTACCCTAAAACCTTGTTTAGAGTTCTGTTTCTACTCCCTAAATGTTGTTTTGCTGGACTTGTTGCAGAAAGTGACTTTCTGTCTAGACTCCAATGATTTTTCCGGTCACCTTTACGCTTAGACTCTTTTGATGCCTGTGACAGGCCAGCGAGTCGTGCAGGACAGGATGGTCAATACTGAATTGGCAGAACCCAAGTCAGTAAGATTTGGCTGCTGTCCTCAGATGCCTTGGGCACAGGTTCTCTGTTATCAGATGAAACAGGTAGATGAAACTTGATCTCTTAGCTGAGGAAGGCGTGTTGTTGGTGACTTACTTTCCTGTTGGTCTCTTGTAGCATTTCTAAGTTAGGACTTTATCAAAATAATGAAGAAAGTAAAACCTACTTTATAGAAATTTCTGGAAAAAATCCTCCATATGGCACTACTGAAAGTATTGCAGTAAAGCAACCAGGACATCAATATGTATTTTATATGCCTGTGACCTTAACATATGATCAGGTCAGTAGCCTTCCCTGTGCATTTAACATGCTTCCAGGTTGTTGTGTGGCATTCGTAAATAGTAACTCTAGTATCCACAAAGTGGACAGATACAAAGCTACAAGTAGGTAATCATTCCACAGATCTATCAGTTCATGGAGGCCATTGCCATACATTGTCATCAAGAGCAGAGATGCAGTGAACGCGTTAGACAGTAAATACATTAGAGTTCACCTGTCAACTCTAGCACCTACTTCTTCACTTGAAGCAAGTTACTTCACCTTTTTTTAACATGGATTCTTCATCTCCAAAGTGAGGGAAATAGTATCTAGGTAAGGATCCAGGAGGAACACTGGAGTACTGAGGCAGGATGGACAAATGGCTAACATGGCTATTCCTCCCATCTCCCTACACCTGTCCATTCTTCACCTTAGTATCCTCCCATCCTGTCTAAACTTTGCTGATCTCCTATACAATGACCTGCTGTTCCCTGCGTGGCTTTCTAGGTGTCTAGTGCCTATTTCACAGTTCTTGAGACCCGTGGATGTCCCCAGGGCACACTGACTAGGCTCACTGTGTCTTCTGCTCCACTCTCCCACCCCATTTGCCTTTCCTTAGATTTTTAGGTTACTGATGAAGGAAACTCAGAGATGTTTGGGTTTGTAGGTTATTTCCCCTTATGTTTTCCATTGTTTTCTTAAGGTGGTTTTACCTCAGTCAAAAGGGAATGGCATCTCAGTTATTCTTTGCACATTTAATGAATGAGACCACTCTTTAAATTATTCTGCCACCTTAATTCATAAGAAGTAGTAGTTCATTGTATTTTCTTTAGTTATTACCAAGACTGCATCTCTGCAGAGTTTGGTTTCTTTATAATAGAAAAGAAAACTAAAGCCTAACCATTTCCCATGGAATCTATTTCATTTTATGTATTTGGATGTCCCATGGACCAGTTTGCTTAGTTCCTGCATACAATTTTTGCTTTTATGCCTGAGCATAGACACAGATCACTTCTTCTGGAAGGACTGACCAGTTTCTACTGAGCAGCTTCATAAACTAATGGAACCCAAAGGTCAAAGGTAAACTTGGAAGTTCTCCAACCACATCGCCTCACCATAACAAAGGCCTTTCCAGACCATGCTCAGACATAGCAGTCACCTTCAGACATAGCAGTCATCTTCTACCCAAGAGACCATCCAGCCATTGCCATCGCCGAAGTATTCATCTATTGAAATAAAAAGCTACCTCCTAGAGACTTACAAAGTAATTCAAACTCTACCCTCTGCAGAATGCTTCTACTCATCAAGAGCCCCTTGCAAAGCTGAAGGTGGCTATTATTGCTCTTCACCAACTAACAAATATCTCAAATTCTGTTCCACCATTTCATGTGAGGGTGAGTAAGGCTACATGAAAAAGATTGATGGCCCTGGATTTAGATTGGCCTGGTTCAAAACCTGATTCTACCACTTACTAGATATGATCCTGAACAAGTTCTAAGTCTGTCTTAGCTCAGGTGTCTTTTTAAAAAGGGTAATAATAATATCTTCCTCACAGAATTATGTCAACATTATGTAAGTTAATATGAGTAGAGGATTTCAGTTCTTAGTTCCCTAACAATAAGAATTGTGAGTGTCTTAGCTTCCCTTTTTATGGATATACCCCAAAGACATGGCACAAGATTGGACACTGGACTCCAAGAGGAAAGTCTTATCAGCAGGCTATTACTTCTTAATCGTAGACTGTGCTTTAGTGTCTATAGAAATAGAATTGCCTCCTTTTTTAAAATTTTATTTT